CTGACCGGTGGAGGTTCATTCATTAGAAAATTTGAGGATGGACCGATCGTAACAGTTTGCAGCCCAAAACACACATCTGCAGAAAATAGATCAGAGACATTTTACTTCTGCTTGTCAACACTAGTTTCCACTAGCCTTCTATCTTTTAAGATTTGACAACATTAATATTATTTTAATATAGGATCCTGTACTGGAATTCAGGCATGGCCGCAAAGCTGATGAATACATCTCACAATTCTCATCTCAGACACTCAAACCATAAGGGGCAGTAATGATAGGAACAACTATCTGTCATTGTCTTTAGTGTAACCTGCTCTGGAATGTTCAGGTGTAAGAATATTTTATTTGAACATGACCAAAAAATAATAATAATAATAATGAGTGCAGCTGCAAGAATCCAGTGAGTAAAAATGGTGCCACCAATGTGGTTGTTAATCATGATTTCAGAGGTAAAGCAAGAATAAAAAAAAGGCCTCAAGTTTAAACAAAAAAGAAAGAATTGATTTCAAAAACATTTCATCCTTTGTATCTAGTTTTCATCTAGTGTCAGCTGGATATGCAACAGCAGAACAAAGCACACTCGGACAGCACCACTGTTGCTGGTTTGCAGCCATATTGATGCACCAGCTTTGCCAGTCTGGGAAATCTCTCTTCGTGTCCTGTTAAAAGTTCTCATCTGTTACATCTGTTTTGTTGGTAAGGGCTGTGTGTATTGCTCTCCAAAAAGTAAGAAAGTGAAATGTTATTTATGTAGCACTTGTAAGACACCCGGTTACAAAGTGCTGCACAAGCACAGAAGTAAAAACAAACACAAATCAAAAAAACATATGCAAATCATACTCAAATAAACCAGGATATAAACAAGCATAACACTGAAATACAGGGTCACATAAAGGCCTTTCAGCACAGATGAGTTTTTGGGAGTTTCTTACAGAAATGTAAAGGTTCAGCAAACTTGATTGATCAAGGGAGTTGATTCCAAGGGTAGAGGGCATAGAGGCATAGACAGCAAAAGCACAATCACCTTTTGTTTCGCAGTTAAAGCAGAGGATAGAAAGAAGACCCAGGGTGGATGAACAAATGAAGGGTGGGATATGAAATGGAATCAGGGGTAAGGAATATGGATGAAAGAAATGTAATTGGGTGCAAGACCACGCAATGCCATGAAAGTAATTAACAGGATCTTGAAATTAATTCTGAATTTAAGAGGAGGTCAAGGAAGTGATGCAAGAACAGGGAAGATGTGGGACTGATGGTAAATTTTAGTTTAATAATCTGGTGGCTGCATTTGAACTTACTGTAAGAGGTGTATATATGATTGACCTGAGCAGGTATTAAGGGAATTTACATAATCTAAAAGGGAAAGAATGAAAGTGTGATTTGATAATTTAAGGTTTGAGGAAGAGAGCTTTGATCCGATTTTAATCTGATGATAGAATAACAATTAAAGAGTGGCAACACTCGATTGAGATTGTTGAGATTTGCAGAAAAACATATCTGTATCATCAGCATAAAAACGATATCAAACATCAGAGTGTTGGCTAAACAACTAATAGAGAGAAAGCATGTAAAGGGAAAACATGAAAATTCCAAAAGCAGACCCCTGGGGAACGACACCTGGCAGAGGAGCACAGGAGAGTATGATATTGTTAATACAAACTAGGGATGGGCAATATAGGCTAAAAAATTTATCATAATAAGTTTTGCCATTCTGGTAATAACAATGAAAGTCCCAATAAAACATATCAAAATTCCTATCTATGTTTTTTACTCATTCTGTTTGAGAACACCAGTTGGCATAGTCAAAAAAGATAGTAGTCAAACTACGAGTTTAAGTGATAGGTTATCTTTTCAATTTATATTGAAAACTCTTATTGCACAGAGCGAGCAGGTCCACTGTCCGATGTCAGGCATACCTGATTGCGCAAGTCTAAGCCCCAATCATGTAGGAAATCCCTTATGTGAAGCCTCGTTCAGTAACAAGCTGCTCAGAGACGTCTTTACTATCTTCGACCATGTTTGTTTGTTATTCTGAGTCTGCTGCTTGCACTCATGTCATCAGCTTGCATTTGTCGTGAGATGGCAAATATTCATCATGGAGGAATTTTCTGACAATAAATCTCGAACAATAATATATTGCCCATCCCTAACACAAACTTCTACACGTATTAAATAGGTGAGACTGAAATCAATTTGAAGGATAAATACATGACACAGTTTTGCAGTCCATATCTTAGAAAAAGAGCCTATAGAGGCTTTGCACACTGCTGCAGTCCCTCACTTAAATCTTTGCCGTGTACAACTACTTTTTGCAAAGTGGGTACACTCGTATGCACGTGCAAGTACATTTTTTAAGAACAAAATACTATTGTGTCTTTGCTTTCTTAATCGTAGCCTTTTTTAGATATCCATAAACTATGCATTTTGAAATTTAAAGGTGCTAAAAAAATAAAGTAATTGTCTCATTGGTATAAATATAAATATATATATATATATATATCTATATATATATACCAATGAGACAATTACTTTATTTATATATATATATATATATATATATATATATATATATATATATATATATATATATATATAAAGGCATACCACGCTTATATATGTCTTGTATAATACATGCAGATAAAATCCAGCATTCACATACATTTGCTGAAAACGGACATGCTCCTTTTTTTGGCTAAATTTAACCTACTTTCTCTCAAGATGTCTTTGGCTTGTAAATCATGAAACCTTACTGGGCTGTCAATTTTTCTGAACATGCAGTCTGAACCACTCGCTGTATCCTCTGTCAGCCTGTTGGCCTGTATCTGCCAGCTCATCCAAACTGTCTGCCTTTCTGTCTGTCAACGTCTGGAAAATTCCTACGCATAAGAGACACTGCCAAAGGCTTTAAATGCTTATGTGTGTGTTTTTTTTTTATTGCTGTCTGTTTAAGTGACCTACACAATCCCACGTTTCTGCCCCACACCCTGCACACACATTCACTACTGCTGACTAATGTTGATAGGAGGCCCAGCTGACATTGCTTGTTTGGCTCCAGCCTCTAATTAAAAAACATCCGGGTGTCTGATTTCCCTCCAATTCTTCCCCAACTGGCTGATCCATACAGAGCTCCTGGAAGATTAAAAATGTTAAGTGGTTGGCTCGAGGCAGCCGCAGAGCCCTCATCACTTCTAGTGGTGTGGTTTCATAAAAGTAATTCAGTTATTGATTCACCAGTCAAAAGTGATATGTGTTGGAGACTTGAGGGCTCCGACAAGGTTGATGTATAGACGAGGTGAAGCTTAAGGAGACACAAGTGGGCGATGCAGACAGAAAGAGATGGCAGAGAGGAGAGAAAGGAATTCAAATAATTAAGTCTCGGGTGTCACATTGATGGCGCCGTCATGGAGCAGACATGACAGCTGCTTCCTTTCCGGAAAAAGCACAGATGTTGTCTTCTCCTTCAACATAAATATCTAATCGTCTTCCCAGATACAGACAGCTGCCACTATTCAAAAGTCTTGCTCTTTAGAGGTGAGGTTTGACAGGCCAGTTTAGAAGCAAAATAGTCCTTTTGTGTTGAGCTGCCACAAAATGAACTTGTTACCTGAAAAACGCTGGTTCAAATCAAGAAAGTCTAGGTTTCTGAATTCAAAGCTCTATTGATCAAACATTCATCTAACTTTGATGTGGTCTCCATTCGGGACTAATGTAAGCTCAGAACGGCCCATAAAAGTAAACACCCATGGGTAACCAAACAGAGCCTTGATGCAAGAGGTTAGTTGATGCAAATTAGCGACTGTGGTGAAAATAGAGGAATAGCTGATTAAGGTGAGAGAGAGTTCATTTCGTTTTGATTGGTTTACACAGAAACCTTAAAAGAGCAGCAACACAGGCTCAGAGCAGCTCATAAAATAGTCATAATGGTGTGGTGGAAAGAAACGGCTTGCGCAAAACATTAGCCTTTTGGGGTTTTAGTCCTAAAAGCTCTTTGTTTCATATGAGACACAAAAAACTGCTCTCCTGAATGAAAGAAAGTCATCAATGATGTATAATTCCTGGCCTTACTATGATGTAATGAGACAACTGCTTTCTGCTATCCACCTTGAATTCACCCCTCAAAGGAATGCAGGCTCCTCTGGTTTGGACAGGAAATGGGGGAGTAACGGTTTGCACACCAAGTTCCCATTTACGACCCAGGCAACCATTTGGGAGGTGATAGTGAATCTTTAACGCTTCCCAAAAAGGACAAGTTGCTTATCAACCACACAGACCCATAAACACGGAGTCTCTCACCCTGGTTGGGAAAGATCAGAATTGACACTTCAGGATTAACCCAATGACCTAGGGGGGGAAAACAGGCCAGTTGGCGCCAAATCTGAAAAACCAGATGCCTGCCATAAATTCCTTGGCTTTCTTTACAGAGCAGAAGGAAGAAGATGACTGAAAATGGTTTAACTTCATGTTTAATGGACACTTCACCAGGATTTTCTGTCTGTACACCACATTCTTAATGAAATGGTCTTTTTTCCAATTCTGTAACATATCCACAAGCCAAACTGTTAACTTCACAAATTTATTCCAGGTTTTCCATGGACCAAGAGCTCCTCCTAGTGGTGATGCCTGAATATGGTTTGATCAGAGCCAAATGGCAGGAATCTAATCACGTGTATTTCTTTCCTTTTGTTATACACTTCGTAGCTTAGTAAATGGTATTCCCAAGATAGGCTAGTAGTTTAGAAGTAGTAACGTGAAACTCGTTTAGACTCAAGTTAAGAGTTTCGGAAGGTATCCATACTATGTTTTATCTACCTCACACAAAAATATATATTAATCATCTGGGAAGCTTGATTGACAAGGTTATAATGTTGTCAAATATTATTACGTATGTGTTTCTTATGCTGGATGGTGTTTCTGTTCGAATAGATAATTTGTTTTCTGTCCCTCTCTAACTTTTAAAAGTCATTAATCCTCTGTTAGTGTCAAGAAGACGGCTGATCAAAGTTTACTGTTTGCAATGTCATGCTTTAATGCGTCTGCTCATAAGAAACAATGAAGTGAAATGTGATCGTATGTGATGTTATAAACAGTTTAATCATAGTGAGTGAGTAAATTAGATCTAGCTCGCTTTTAATATCAAGTTGAGTTAAATTCGCTGCCAGTCGATGTGCTGCATCGGGTTACAGCATTGGCTGTAACTTTCCTCTTGGCTCACGCCCACACGGGATGGTTTAAAAGAGCCCGGGAGTCTTTGCTCGGTCTTCAGTTTTTTTTCTTCAGTTTTTCTCTTCAGTTTTGTCTTCTCTTCAGTTCTTCTCTTCAGTTTTTTCTTCTCCTTAGTTTTGTCTTCTCTTCAGTTTTTGTCTCTTCCGTTTTTGTCTTCGTCTAGTTTTCTTTTGTCTTCGCCTATCGTTCGCAATTTTCCCCGCGTTTTATTAATTGCCTTAAGCTCAGATTTTTATTCTAAACTTGGATGAAAGCATTCCCAAGTCCTTTAGAGCCTCAGTAACAAGCTGCGCGCATAAGAGAACCTCAGTCTAAGTCTTTTATTTTTGTTCGCTAAAGTGACTCCTGAAGATAATATCGGCTGGCCAGCGAAATTATTTTCTTAAGTTATTGGCGCGAATTAATCTGCAACCAAGCAAATCCTGAACGCCGACCAGCATCATCTGCCAAGCTGCTTTGCCACCTGGTTCCGAGAGGCCCAGAGATCCGAAGTATCTAACGGCGCTGACACGGTCCTGAAGCTGAGATCCAGACACGGCGGAAGAAGTCCCCGCCGAACCTTCAGTATCCGGTCCGGTAGCCACAGAACTTCAGCTGATCCATTCCAAGGGTGCCGCTGAGAACCGACGTCCAAAGTAGGCTAAATCCTCTGAACTGCTGTGATGAGAACTGGGTGATGCCGTCAACCGTTCAGTAGCTTACTCTTATAAATTATAGTTTAGTTCTCCAAATTCCTTTTATTTACCCTCGTAACTCCGTTAACGTAGGTTAAATTTCCCCTTTATTCACTCACTATTATTAACCTCCAGTCTTAGGTTTAATTTAAACCATTCCTTCGTTTATTCATTAGATGTGCTTTGATTTGCTCATTATTTGATCATCATTTATTGACATTTTGTTATCATATAGCTTGTTAATAAATTGTCCATTTAATTCTAAGTTGTCGTCTTAGTGGTCTTTCAGAAAGTAGTCCCTGAATGAAGAATTCCGGCCTCAGATGAGAGACTGATTTAAATCTGTGTAAGACTGATCCAACGTTTAATTACTCAATTGAACTTTGTTTCGTCCTTTTTCCCACCAGAAAGGTGGGTGGTGCCCCTTCAACGAGTGCATAAATGTCATAATTTAATTTGATTAATTTTCGACATTTATTTTGAATTTAAAATCGCTACAGTATTTGGTGCGGCCGTGCGAGGCCATTCAAACGACTTCTGTAAGGCACTAACAGACAACTTTAAGATTATTTTAGATTCCCAAACTAGTGAGAAACCCAATTTCCCAACTTAGACTTCTTAAGATCTATGCTATGCTTGCTGAAATTACTGGATTGCTTGCTTAATGTATGTCTGATGCTTTTTGAAATTGCTGAACTGGGCGTTTGATGTATTTTCTGTTTCATGTTCTGATGATATTGAGCTCTGTGTAATAGCGCTGATTTTTGCTGCTGCATACTTTTGTGTGTGAGCGTAGACCACGTGGATCATTGTTTTGGATTGCAGCGAGGCTGCGCTTTCTGCTCTGCGCGCCGCCGCTGCGCGTACCCAGATTGTTAATTTTTGAGTGCACGATCTTCAGCGTCGCCGTACGCTTGTATTAGAAGGCCTTGGGCCGGACCCGGTGTTCGCGAAGCTCCGAGCCGTGGTTCCGAGTCCCTGAACCCTGTATAGTCTGCTACGAAGTTCTAGTAACTGTAAAGGATTCAGTTTATCCCTCATTCCCCGGCAGATTAGCTACCTGTCGCGGGAGATCACTGTTCCCAGTGAGAGGTTGTTAGAGTGATTTCAGACACGATTCTTTTTCACAAATCGCCGCATTTCGTGAATTTAAGTCCGCAGTTTTGTCTGCTGTTGTAAGATCTGTCTGTGTAAACTCTTGTTACTCCCAGAGGAGTCTGGTGAAGCAATCCGCTGTTAGAGACGCAGCGTTGAATCTTCCCATTGCCACTGCGCGCGCAGCCGCAGTGAGGTGTTAACCCTTTGGTGTCCATTGGAGAGACTACTCGGCCAGTGTTGAATAGGCAGGCCACCCCGAGGGGTGGAGCCAATAGTTACGTCATAACGTTGCGTCGCGACGTACGGAGCGGTTGAACCGCCCCCTAGAACATCGCCCTCGTGTGGTGAGCGGCAAGCACTGCAAGCCGGCTCACAGCCACGTGGCCTTTGTTTTGCTTGGACCTCATTGTAAACAGACTGCAGTCTAGCCGACTGCCACGCCTCCCTGTTGTCAAACAGATGCCATGCAGACATAGTCAGATTGAGTTGGTTGATTGAGTCTTTAGTTTCTGTACTACAAATAAAACGTTGATTTACTTGATAAACAACTTTTATTTTTACTTTGTACAGATAGATCACCTGCCTTATCAAGGAGAATAGCTGAATCAAATCTTTGTCATCCTGTAATCATTGTTCATTGCCTCCATCTTTCTGTGACCCTTTATAAAACACTTAAATGTGATCACAGACTTAGGGCAATAGTTAATTAATTCATTAATGTAACATTAATCAATTAATTCAATAATTCCCTAATCAACCTACGATCAGAATTTTTGTTTTATCCCTTTAGGTCAATTGAATTTGGACAATTTTACTTTGATTATCTGGTGAAGACTTGAAAGATTTAATTGCATCTACAACTGCATTGTTGATCCTGATTACTTTCAGCTTTTACCTTCCTTCCACGCTTAGCTGACAATCCGCTATTTACTTTTAAGGTTTCCCTGTACTCCTTTCTGTAAAGTTTATTTGACCAAATCCGGTTTGGACTATGAGATTTGGCTGTGATTAGGTTTGATTTTTGTACGTAATTCTTTTTCAGCTAAAATCCAAATTCTGTTTTAGCTTCCTTTGTTTGTTTCATTCCGGAAATAAACATCCAGCTATTTTAGCGTGAACCAGACTTTGCTTAAAGCGCTTATCTTCTGGTCCTAAATTCACAGCTTTTCTCAATTTGCTTTATAGGCACGGCTATTTTGTTAAACTCATTAACCTACCAACCTTACTAAACTTGAAGTAACATGGCAGAACGTAAGGAGGCAAGTTGGCAACTATTTAGTGAGGAGCTAAAGCATGCGCTGACAACTCTGACTCAGCCGCTGCTCCCAGGCTATGTAGACGAAGCGAATCGTACTGATAACAATGGGCTTCAAACTGTGTTGAATGAGGTGATCGATTGGGTTACAGAACACCCACCTAAAGAGAAAGAGATCCCCAAAGCTTTAGCACGCTTGGCTTGTGTGATGTCTGTCCAAATTAAGAGACAAGACGAAGCCATGGGAAGGGCCCAAGAACAGATACGGGCACAAATGAAGGAAATTGATGATCTCAAAAAGGAGCTGGGAGGCACTGAAAGGGCTCTACAGCAAGCTCGAGACAGTTTGGATGAGAGGCAAGCAGAGCCTCCATCCCAACATGATCAAAACCCTTCCTTAGTAACTCAAATCTCAGAGTTGCATGACACCATTGAGGAAAAGGAAGCTCAGCTTTCGGACGCTAGGTCCACCATTCATGAACAATTACAGGAGTTGTCAAGAATGAAAAGCAACCTAGATCAGTCCTCAACTGATGCAAGGGACTGGAAGGCCCAGTTTGAAAGTAAAAGGGTGGCCCTCGAAGCAGAAGAGAGACATTCTGCTAATCTAAAGCAAATGCTCCTCGAGACTCAGAGGAAATTTAGTCTGGGTCAACCACAGCAAGATCAGAGCGGGCGAAGCTCGCCAAGCAGTCAACAGACGCTTCCATTCCCTACCTTCCGACCGAGTCGTGTCCCCAGAGGACATTCAGGTCGATCAAGTCCGGATGACACCGGACGGAACTCGGGTCATACTTTGTCGCCCCTTCCCCAACCAATACCTTCCGGGTATCGTTCCCTGAGTTACCAACCTCAGTCCACGCCTGCTGCTCGTCAAGCGGCATATCCCACAGACAGGGATCTGGACAAGATGGCTCGTAACATCACACGATTTGAACCCGGTCGAAAAGGTTCAGAAGACCCAAGCACCTACTTGAAAGACATCGACTTCTACTTGAGGAAGTTTCCAGGTGCTCTTGTGGATGACAAAATCTACTTGATCAAAGCTACCTCCAATCGAGAGGTTAGCAGCTTCATTGAACGACAACCGCGTCGGGTCAAGAATGACTATGACCTGCTGTGTCAGGCATTAATTGACGAGTTTTCTGACTCCCTTACACCCACTGGTTTAGCTGCTGCACTGTTAGTCAAACAGGAGAGACAGGAATCTCCCCAGTTGTACTACGGTCGCCTTCGCCAGGCTTACTTTGGTTGTCAAAATGAACCTGAAATGGAGGAAGATCTAAACTTTAAGACCTTGTTTGTTCAAAACCTCCATCCGACCACGAGTCATCATCTTGGTGTTGCTGCTTGTCCCCGAACCTTAAACAGCAGACAGCTCCGCGAACTGGCTGTAAAAGGCTTCGCTAAACAGCGACACACCCAATCCAAGAAAGCCGAACCTGGTACTGTCTTGGCTGTGGACACAAGGTCCATGCCCCTAGATCTGGAGGGTGGTGCCGTGGGTGCGCATTCAGATGCACCTCAAACTGCAACAGCCCGACCAACCCAGAATCTGAAAACTTCCCGATATCAGCCAGCTGATAAAGGTCAAAACCTGAAGCAGCCTCGGTCTGACAGTGAACAACACCAGGTCAGATTTGACGAAGATCGTCCACCCTCGTACTCTCGCAGGGATGGGGCTCACCCTAGAAGGGATGACACCCATCGGCCCTACCGACCTGATAACAGGGGGTGGAGAGACCGGTCAGATCGTTATGGCCCACGCCGAGAACGAAACTCAGAGCGACCTTACCCGCAGTCTCAATCAGCATTTTCTGACGAAGAGATGGGTACAAAGGCCAAATCAGACCCTCCCCAGAAGGGTAGTGGATCTAAAGGCGGAGCTAAGGGTGAATCAAAGTCCTCTGATCTGACAGAGGAAGAACGTAAACTCCTTAGACAAATAATCCGTAGAATACAGAGAAAAGGAGATAAGAAAGCAGATCTCTTCTCTGTCGCTGTCGCCGCCGTCCAGGATGACACTTCTGAGCCAAACATGATGCCTGTCCAGCAAACTGAATTTCAGGAGGACGTGTGTATGTCCTTACAGGAGTCGGTGACACCCTCACCAGCTGACACTCCTGCCAATCTTGAACCTCAGGACAACACATCACAAGAAACGACATCTACCAGCGCCGTCTTGGTAGTACAGGCGAACTCCGCAGAGGAGCCAGCCGAAGAAGACTCCTCACTTATTCGGCTTGAACCACCTTTCCTCCAATTCTTGTGCAACCTCACTGAGAAAGGCATCGCACAGAAGTTTTACGTTAATACCGTCCTTGAAAATGAACTTCAACACGAAGCACTCCTGGACACTGCTGCTGACATCACTCTGATGTCCTCCACG